CCACCTGAGGATACAATGACGATCAACAGCGGCTTCAACTCTTTTTTCCATATCTCTGAATTCGCGGAGACTTCTTTCATCGGCATCATCTGCACCAAGTAATGAAAGAAAGAGCATGTTGCCTACGCCAACTTTTTTACAAGTCTTAAAAAGGAAGGAAGAATATTTGTTATTATGAAATTAATCAATTATTAAAAAATGTGATTATTAAAAAGAAAAGGTACGAACATTCGCGAAAATTTTAGCATAATTACTACGGTCGTTATCCGATTCAGGAATCATAAGAACCCAAACGGCACCGTTTAAAGCTTGTTCAATTGTTCCTTGATTATTGTAATCAATTAGGGCAACCTCAGCACCATGTTTCTTAAGACCATCTAACCCAGAGATATCGCGTGCAAGAGCACGAACAGTATAAGCCCTCTGATTTTGCCTCTTGTCTTGAAGTAAGACTTGAGTAATTGCGTATCCCAGATAACGGTCACAAGAAGTAATGCAAATAACGTTCTTGTTTTGAGCAGACATATTGTTAAAGAGGTTTTTAAAAATGCTTGTAATTTTGGTTGTAATAATGGTGAAGAAAAGTCGAAGAAAGTTGAGATGAGAAATGGTGAAGGAACAAAGACGAAAGAGGAGGTTATTTAAAGAAAATTTTACAATATAAATTTTAACTATAGTTCTCGAACCATTTTAACAGTTGCTCTTTTAAAAAAAATTGAAATGATAAAAAAAAAAGCCAGTTCTTTCATTAATCAGCTTCTGATTGATTCATTAAGGGCCCGGGAATAGATCATCTTTCAATTATCTACATTAACTTCGCATTTACTGATTTAGTTAAATTTACTTTAGTTAAATAAAGGAAGCAAAGTTTAACAAGATTTCCAATGGACACAGGCTATGTCAACTCCCACACCATCAAATATTAGCTTCCTTTTTGATAACAAAGAATTTTTACTATTTAAGATGGAAAAGGAATCTTATGGAGCAGAATCGAATGATTAAAATCGAATGTACTCAAAATTGTTCACGAGATATTTTTACTTATAAAGTAAGGTACTAAACATTTTTCAATCTTTTTGTATTAAATAGAGTAAATCATTAGCGTTAAAGCTGGGATAATAATAAGGAATCTTTATTTAGATAAGCTATTTTTTCTGATTTAAAGTTTTTGTAAATTATAATCGTGACACAAATTTAAAACGGGTTCTCGCATTAACTTGTTCGCAAAAGTTTACGTATATCCACCAAATTTGGTGATATTCGATCGATACCCTCTTTTGGAGAAGGAAAATTTAACCTTTTAAGATATCTTGCGATTCAGTGATCGAATGATTTTAGTATCATTCGATTCGTCTATGAAAGATAAATCGAACAGTGATTATGATCAAAAAAAAACGGTGAGTGTACCATTAGTGTACCATTAGTATGTGCGTCATAATACTCTCTTTTACCTTATATAAATGGAAATCTTTTATAAAATGCAGTGACCCAGAATCATCAAATTGGAAAATTATTACAATCATTAATTACCATATTTCGCAGTGGAAGATACTCAGGGTCTCTTGAGATCTATACATGGTCGCCCGTTGAATATATTTCTATTTATAGTAAGATTCTTTAGACATTCACACTTTACTTTTACTTTTTTTATAAATATGTATTTACCGTATTCGGACTTTTAAAGATGAGTCAGTGTGTGAACAGATAAAAGGGCAATGCGTGGGAATTGTGTAGTGAGATAAGGCTAATATTGATCTATGGCTTAAAGGATGGAAGATCTTAATTATTGCATTACTATATTTAGCCTATGTCTTTAATCTCTTTAAGAATTGAATTCACTGATTGGCCGATGTTGATGGATGGGACATTATAAATGATTATCGATATCAGCAATTGATATTTTTAAATAATCACACACGGAGTAAAACGAGTAAAACAAAAGAGTAATAGTGCGTCTACAAAATTCTCTGACACATGTTTTTCCCATGGTTATGTTAACTTCCATGTACCCTGCATTTTGTTTTAAATGAAGTAACTATTTATTTCACCTTAATGTGGTTACACTATTGTGGGAAAAAATACTCGAAAAATCATAAACTTATGCACATTGATATTTAACGTTAAAACAGCCATTTATGTCATACTTCTGTACTTCTAAATCATCATTTTGAGATATACTTTAATTAATTTTAAACATACCGATACTGTATTATCGAATAATCTCTCCGACCCTTTGTACCAGGATACTCACGATGTCCAACCTTTTTTGATAAGACCTGAGAAATTTATTCGAGAAAGCAAATTTTCCCAACAATGTTTCACACAACTTTACAAAATATATAAAAAAATTGAATCAGGTATTCAAAAAATCAAGTTGGTAGAAAGAATTTCGGTTTTTTTTTTTGATTACATAATCGATTTTAAATGATACTTTACCTTGTTTTGACAAGTCATGTTTTTCACATATAATGCCTAATAGCCTTGTTAACGTTAATAAGATTTAAAGATTGCCATTAATATGAGATCAAAAGTGTTTTCAAGAATCTCACTCATTTAATTTAAAAAAATATTATTCATTATCTTTAAGCTTATACATTTCAACTAGTTTTTCGTGTGAACGTTGTTTCCAATATCATTGATCATTCTGATTAACTTAGCAGGACCACTACAATGAAAAAATTACACTATTCAATAAATATTGGCTATTTTGATCGAAAAGTTCAAATCCTTGACGCTATAAAACTCAGTACCGATTTTTATTGGTTATTCATAATACAGATAACTTTTCAATTTTGATTGGTTGATCAGAAATAAACTACCATGAGTTTAAAGACAAATTAAAAATTAATAATTCGAATCTCTATGACATTCTTTTCTTGCCAATCAGTTTGTTTATAATCGCATGTTTGTAATAGTGATTATGTAAAGAAAGGAACAACACAGCCATTGAAATAATATAGAATTATTAGATTATTTGCAAAATAATTCATTATCTGGCTGCGAAATTTAATATGCCAGCTTCTGGCCCCAAAGGGGCGCATATTAAATTCGCTATCAGATAAACAAGTTATCGAATTGATGCAAGTATAGTCATTGAAGTGTATGAACCAGTATAAATGTACAGTAATTATTTATTGAATAAAATATACTCTTCAAAGTAAATAAAATTATCGAATGCAAAATGAAATTTAATCATAAAATGAATGGTCTAGTGAAAATAAAGTGTAATGTAAGCGTCGAAAAATATATTCAAAGCATAAGAAACTTGTGCAATGTAATCGTCAAATAATATATTCAAAGTACAAAAAACAACCATAAATAAAATTATCAATTTAATGCAAAATATGTATAATATCGATGAGTGTAAACGAAACAAATACGAAAAACAGCCATAAAATCAAGTATAAATGAGGTCCACAATTACAATAACTTGCACGAAAAAAAATTTCATAGTAAAAATTTCTAAAGCAAAAACTTTGAACTTTTATTACTATAAAGATTTATAAAAAAAATTTATAATACTGTAATAAAGCTTGTAGAAAATATTTTAAGATACTTTATATAATATTGTCAATAGACATGAACATAAATATAAATTTTCATGTTCATAAACATACAAAAGATATGAACATGTCCATGTCCAACTATGAGCATGAATATTGGACATTGTTTATAGACTGTCCATGAACTGTCTATGTTTAATGATTTGCTTGAACATATGTTCATGTACAATACTAACTGTATATAAAAAATATACTTTATATCATTTATATTTTTTATTTAAAAAATTGTAAATACGTATATTCAAAATTCTAGAGAAATTTGCCTGAAATACAAATAAAAAATACCAAATTTTATTGTGTTGTATATTAAAATATAATTCTTTTAAATTTTGAATTTGTTTAAAAATCTAAATCTATTGTATATATCTAGAAAACAAGATACGGATACCTAGTGTATATTTCTTTTGTTAAAAAGTGGCACACAAAAAATTTTTAGAAGTATATTTTATAGACATACAGTACCTTTAAACTAAAACCATAATTGTATTTATTAGTGCTTGGATCCGTGGATATCCGACTATTTTTTGCCCAATCCACTGGATTTTTATATCCGGTCATAAACTATCCGACGAAATCCGTTGAAATCCGTTAAATTTATTGATATATATGTTGTGCCTCAGATGCGTTCTTGCTTCGGATCTAATCCGACGCACGTCAGATGCCGATTTTCAGGTGACGCGCGTCACCTGAAGATCGGTCATATGAGGTGCGTAAGATATAATCACGCAAGATCATCAATCATCTTTAGAATCATTCAACGAAAAATGAAATAACGTCATTATGAATAAGGGCATATAAAAGCCTTTTGGCTTTATTCTTGCCTTTCTCTTTCTTAGTCGTTTTACGTTTTATGCCAACCATATTTCACCAGTATTTTTTTTAGTCAACGCATCTCTTTGCATTTGATCTTGGTGCCTTCGTATTTGACCTTGGTGTTTTGCATTCGATCTTGGTTTAATTCTTGGATGCCTTCGCCTTAATTAATTGCCTTTCCATACTTGGTGCCACTTTTTTTCTTTCTGCTCATATTTGGTGTCATTTTTTTTTTTCTGGTGCCATTTTTTTTTCTTTCTGGTGCCATTTTTTTTTCTTTCTGGTGCCATTTTTTTTTTTTTTCTGTTCATATTTGGTGCCATAAATCTTGACTTGATCTCAACACTCTCTCTTCATATGCTACATATTTTTCTTTAATTTCAGCATTGTCTTTTCATATTTGGTGCCACATATCTTTTTGATTCAATGCATCTCTCCATAATTGGTGCCACATTTTTTTTTGTCTCTCTATACTTGGTACTACATATTTTTTTTTTGATTGCTTTATTCAGCATCACCTTTTTTTTTTTACAATTATTTTTTTATTTTTTTTTTTTACTATCCCAGTATCTATATGGAGTGTTGTCAACTAAAAGGGCCCATTTTTACAATTTTTTGAAAAATGAGTTTTTATTAAATTCATATAAATTTTGACATGATTGATATTTTTCAATTATAAATGAAAGTTAAGTTGTATAATAAAAAATTAAGATAATGTAAAAGAAAAATTACACGAGGCTACGTAGGGCCAACACATCACGAGATTACCTGATAGTCACCTGTTACCTTTAACCAATAAAACTCGTGAAATTTGATTAATCCTGGATCAGTCCGAAAATCAAAACAAATGATTAAACTCAATTATCTTAAAATAAGACATATGTAAAAATAGGCCCTTTTAGTTAACGACACTCCATATTATGGAATATACATTTATTAGCCAAAGTACTCTTGATCAAATTCTTGAGAGAAATATTAATAATCTACCAAAAGCAAAGCAAGCAAAGGTCCTAATAAATAATAAACTTCTAAATAAAATCAATATGATTTTATTAAATCCTAAAGACACTTCGCTTTATGATAAGAATATACATGGTTGGGCTAAAAAGAAATTTAAGCTTGAGAAAATTTTACCTGGAGATTATAGAG